AATTCCATCACCAATGTTTACACTTTTGTCATTTTTATTATAGATATCTTTAACAAAAGAATAACACTTTCCAGATATATAATGTATTAAAAGTTTATATTTAATCCCTGCATAAATGGCTTTATCAAAAGCCTTTTTAAAGTCAACAAAACAGGCAAACATTCCCCTTTTTTACTTATGTATTTACAAGTATTATCGTTTATATAAATATACAATGTTGATTTCCATGCTCTATGGGTCTTATATAATTTTATCTTATAGCTTGTGTTAATTAAGTATACATTTGCAGTTTCCTTATACAAAGTAGTGCTAAATTATGATAAAAGCTCATAATTATCAGGTTAAAATCTTTTTATAAATACAACTTTTTTTATTTTCATTGATTTCATTTTTGTTCAAGATTTACGAAAGTCAACAATGTTAAGGTGACCTCCAACTTATATTATTGTTTATCAGATATTGTCCTTCAAATAACCAGGTCCAATCTGAATGGTTCATCACTAAAGCGCTATAAACAGATTTTTACTCTAATATGGGCCATCATTTTACTATGCTTATATTTAGAAAGGACAATACTAAAAATCTGCAAGTTTTTCGGTATTGTCTAGGATGAATAATTTAATGATTTTTTTTTTATTTAAAAAGAGAGTAAACGATGAACAGATTTTGTCTTTTTCAACCTTAAATGTTTATTCGTCCAGGGAAATTTGAGCAGCTGTTAATATTAATGTTAAAGATTTTGATAAGCTACATCTTTGTCGAGCCTGCAACTTTTGTCGCAGAAAGCTCGACATAGGGATAGAGATCCAGCGGCTACGGCGGTAGCTAACTTCTTTAAAGCTTTACATTTTAGAAGGTGGAAGACCTGGATGCTTCATACTTAGTATATAGGTGCCTTATGTTACGAAGTTTCCGTCTGTCACATGCCCATAGTTCTTGACCTCATTTCCATGGTTCAGTGACTACTTGAAAAAAAAGTTAAGATTTTTTGTAATGTTAATTTCTCTCTTTATATGAGTAATAGGATAACTATATTTGGTATGTGCGTACCTTGCAAGGCCCTCATACCCGTCAGACAGTTTTCACTTGACCTCGACCTCATTTCATGGATCAGTGAACAATGTTAAGTTTTGGTGGTCAGGTCCATATATCAGATACTATAAGCAATAGGTCTAGTATATTCGGTGTATGGAAGGATTGTAAGGTGTACATGTCGAACTGGCAGGTGTCATCTGACCTTGACCTCATTTTCATGGTTCAGTGGTTATAGTGAAGTTATAGGTCAGCTATATTTGGTGTATGGAAATATTTTATGATGTACATGTCAGTCTTGCAGATTTTATTTGACCTTGACCTCATGTTCACAGTTCATTGCTCGTTGCTCAGTGTTAAGTTTTTGTGTATTGGTTTGTTTTTCTTAAAGTTTAAGCAATAGGTCAACTATATTTGTTGTATGGAAGGATTGCAAGCTGTACATGACTGCCTGGCTTGATTCATATGACTTTGACCTAATTTTCCTGATTATTGGTCAATGTTTAGTTTTCTTGGTTAATTCTGTTTTTTATGTTTCTTAGAAACTATAAGCAATAGGTCGACCATATTAGGTGTATTGAATGATTGTAAGGTGTATATGTATTTCTTGTTTGGTTTATCCGACTTTAATTTATTAATAATAGTTTTTGAGCAAATACATGATCAGATGGTCTTCATTTCTTAGTCATTTCAAGATACATGGTAGGTCAATCATATTTGGTGTACAGATTCATCCGAAAAGTACGTCAGTTTTTAAATGTCCACTGGTTAGGTTCTTGTGATAAAGTCTGTGTTTTTTCAGTAACTGTCATTGTCATCTGAGCCTGGCTTAATTTTCATGTTCTATGGACCAGGTTACGGTTTTTTTGTTATAGTAAGCCAATGATATTTGGTTTATATATTCATCTCAACATAAAAGTCTGACACATGTCACCTGACCTCAACAGTATTGATCATTATATTTTTAGATTTCGATACTCTAAGCAATATATTATTCATATTAGGTGTATGAATTAATCACAAAATGTAGAAACATTCTGTATTGAGTTACCAATGATATAAATAACTTGAAAGACATGGAAATTCAAATTCATGGCGATTCTTCTAAGTAGTTGCCTAGAATTCTTCACATTATATCATGCGAAACAAACATATTGCATCAAAATTATTGTTATCCCGCCAGAATAGCAAATGGTCTTCCCATTAGTGTAAGTTATGGCAATGTCCTGTTGTCTAGTTAGTCAATGACCTTAGAAACAATTATGATTATTTTTAAAAGGATTTGGAGAAAAAAATGAAAAACTATTTCTTCTCGGCCTTTATATGGTTTTAAGAAAGAGAATGATATTATTTTTGCTTTGGAGTTTGATATTGATGAGTTGCAGAGTAAGCTAATTTTAAATCTATTTGAATGGCCACTTCATATTTGCAGGCAGTTGAAACAAAACCACCAATTTTACAACAAAAGAGTGGATACCAACAAGGGCAATAAATGAATAAAGACAAAAAGAGACACCAAGAGACACCAAAATAATACATACTTAACACCGAAAACAAATGAAAAACACGAGTATGGAAAAAACTTGGGAACTCATATATCAGGAAGGGTAAGCCGGTCCTACTTCTTGCAGACTCCCACCATGTTTATCCCGAAAGTAGTCAACTGGAAGAAACGGGAAATGAATATATGCCAATAGGAGCATGTATGTTGTCTATCGGAACATAGCCATCATATAGCGGTCAATGAATTTGTAATGGCTGTCAGAACTTGTACAATTAAGGCTTCAATTTAAGTACAGCATACCGTTGTTATTATTTTGTGTGTCAATGTTTGGTCATTTATAATAAAATCACTGTAATGGCGGATAATGTAGAAGTTGAGAGGGATAATCAATGAAATTCAATACGCTAGGACTGCTAGGATGTTGCCACCTAAGAACGGCAAGCTAACTATTGGAAAATAGAAGAGATCGCGTTGGTCATTGAGCTTGGTATTAAACTTTACTCCTGAGTCAATTTCTAGATGAAGAAGAAGACTTTCGAGTCTGTGTGGTGTCCCTTACCCCTTCTGTCAAGCTTAATTAATGAATTTTGTCCTTACTTCTTTGAAAGGTTGCATATAAAGCTTACTGGTTGTAGCCCATCCTCTCAGTATTCCACAACGTTAACTCTCCATATGGCGAGGTATTGGACCCTGTATAACCGTCCGATGTTAACACTTTACGCTTAAACCCAAAACGAAAATTACGTAATGGAAATCTAGGCGATAGCACTACACCGGAATCCCTCACGGTCATCCGCTGTAAAAATTACATTACATATTTTATACCCCCGGGCAGTCTTAAAAATACTAGACTACTGTTAACCGTTGTCCGTCAGTCAACCACAATGGACAATAACTCAACAACGCTTGATTTATCCAGTCTTTGGGCAATAACTCAAAAATGCTTTGAGCAATTTTCAAGAAACTTGATGGAATTATTTGAGTTCGCTGAGTCATTTTTTTCGATTTTATTTTATGAATTTCAGGTTACACGTTATGGAGTTAATGGAATTTATTCATAAAAAGGGTGGGGGATTTTCCAGTTTACTAAGAATAACTGGTTTTAAGGTTTAGAGTTATTGAACTTCATTTTAAAAAGGGGAAATTTAATAGTTTTGTGTCAAAATCTCAAAATTGCTTTTAGCAATTTTCAATACTGAACTTTGGTGACTTGACAGACGTTTTCTAATAAGATAAATTGGACGGTATTTGTTTTGATTTTGTTGTTGTCTATAAAAATGTGTTCATTCTCAATTTTATTATATTGTTATATGTATGACCTTTGATTTGATGGAAATGAAATATCTTCTCCTTCTATAAGAAAGACTGCTGAAAGTGGCGTTAAACACCAACAATCAATCAATTAATATTCAAAGAATTTCGTTTAAGCGTGCGTCACAGAAGATTGTACTGTGTACAATGTTTGTTTTTCGATATTTTTGGTTGAAATACATAAGTTGTTTAACTTGGTATTCTTCTTATTACGTGCAAAATTACGCAATGATTAGTCGGTATAAAATCGCATTTAACACTAAATGTGTTCTTTTCATAGAAACAACTAAAATTGAATTGAAAAGATCAGAAAAAAATCTAAAAAGTATATTATTCGTAAAGTTTGACCTCAAAACTTCAAACTACTCTTCCATTTAGCCTTTAAAAAATTATGAAAAAAATGTTTAAAAAATAAAATAATAAAGAAAGTAAATTCACCCTAAATGTGATACCGTAACTTTGGTGTGACGTTCAGTTTATCGATGTCTATTTTATAGTTCCACAATTGTACGTGTTCTGACTCAATGCAATACATTTAAGAACGTTCATGGTGTCTTTATCCTATACCCATGCTCTCCGATGATCTTATACTTTTTATTAGTTTTGGCTTTCTATTTTATATAAAACTACGTTTGAACGGCAGATGGATTTTCACAAACCATGCGTTGAGAGACGCAGAACTGTATGAAGTATATTTGTTTATATGGTCATAATGTTTTCTTCAGTTTGTTTTGTTTTCTTCTGATGCGAATAATTTTTCATTTTTTTTTTACAATTTAATTTAGTTGGAATGTGTAGCAAATTTTCGTACAATGTTTATATCATCAAAGATTGACAATTAACGCTTCACAACAAATATAGTACAAAATAAACAAATAGCATATTTACAGTTCTGCTCCTTTGTACCAAGTTGAATAAAATCCAGCAAGAAATAGGCCCTTAATATGTTCTTTATGGAAAAAAAACCCGTATACTTGTATATATAAAAAATTTGCGAAAGCAAATTTTCAGATCTTACATTGTTAAGCTGATGTTTAGACGAGTTGTATATAAGAATGTACACAGCCATGTATCACCATCACTGCTGGTAATCCGATGGATAAATCTGTGGTAGAGTTGTCACTGGTAAACAAGTCTAAATTGAAAACAACGTTCAAACCTATGATTGCGTTGGATAAAAACCGCAATTTTTATACGTGTGCATGTAACAAATTTCGTTGTAAAAGGATATAAATACAGCACAAACAACATTTTCCAAAATACCAAAAGAGTGAAACAATATATTTTAACAAAACGCATTTAACTAGCAGGTCGAACAACTGATGTTCTTAAACCCATATATATATATGAAATATATAAAAACAAATTGTATTGGTGGCGAATCCTTATGGCTATAGTGCATATTCCACATCTTCTTACATTCATGGAAAACAATACGTTTTCCTCACGTTTCCTATTTTCTAATAATAACATTGTGTATACCCTTATCTCCTTTTATTCACAGACGCAATGTGACTACAGACTATACTGGAAGGGAATATTACAACATTTCAATAGTACATGACTTTGACGTTAACATATGTATATCTATTGACTATTTAATGCTCTTTTTTGTTTTTGTTTATTAAATATCCGATATGAATTTTCTTTTTATTTGATTGATTTCAAATATAGAATAATATTCCGGTAAATATTTCATGAAAGAAACAATTATAGTCAATTGCATTGAGTGTGTAGGTAAAGGTAATATATTTGGTTAGCTTGCTTGCTAGCTGAACCGTGAAGTCATTATTAGGTTAAGTTAACTACCCTCTTTTAAGAGTAAACTTGTCCGACAGATAACCAATCTATCTGTCTGTAAGACTAGGCTTCTTCGAAAGGAGGGTAGTATACATTACCTAAGAATGACTTCACGGTTCAGCAAGCAAGCAAGATAACCAAAGATATTACCTTTGCCCACACACTCAATGCAATCGGCTGTAAATGTTACACGAGGGTGTCTATTTGAGTATATAGCAAACTGTGCTCACATTATTTCTAGTTGATCATATAAAATAATTTAAAGCATATATATATTGCGATAGTTGTGCAGCTCTTTTATCAAACAATGTGAAGACAAGCTTTCACGAAATCAACAGTGTTTAGAAAATGGGATATCCCATGATCATTGTGAATATCTGAAAGAGGGTCCACCTCTAATTGTAACTGCAAGTAGTCCACCATAGAAATGGGGCTGTTTGTTAGGGCGACTGTTACATTGTTGCTTTCTTCTGTTGGTACAATGGGTCCATTCCAGTCAACACCATATTCATTATTTACGTCCTCACCAAAAATTTCGTTGATAGCTGGAGTATCATGACGAAACAGATTAAGTGCTCCTTGAACGAATAACTGGTCAGGAGTCTTTCCCCTTTCAGAACTTAGTTTGTGGCTATTCCACATTTCCATGAAAGAATTCAGCGAGCGCTGTATTCTTGGCTGGTACACGAAATGTAGGGCCCACATATGGATTTCATTTTCCAAATCAACTATTCTGCATTGTTCTAAATATTTAAATAAGTCATAGTATATATTAGTACAACCTCTGTATAAATCAAGCCACAACCTTTCAATTCTCTGGTTGTGGACACTACGTCCTTGAATAATGCTGCCTCTATTAGCACCCCTATGTATGGTCATAAAGGCAGCTACATCCACATTTTCTGTACCGTAATCACTCCTAACTCTGGATGGAATAAGGTTGTGCTGAGCAGCATGTAGGAATAAATCAAACACTGTTGAACTCTTGTTATTTGTGGCACATCCTAAATAAACAATCTTTCTACTAAAACCATCGATCCCACCATGTATAACAAATCTCCAACTGTAAAAAGAAGAAGAGTTTGATATGTATATGTTGATATAGCCTGCACTTAGTATCTACATGTATCTCATGTATCTCATGTTGTGTTTTTTTCTTTTATAAAAAAAAACTAGAGGCTCTCAAGAGCCTGTGTCGCTCACCTGTATTTACTGATGCTTTGGAAATCATGTAAAATAAGGTTAAAACATAATTAGTAGTATATTAGATACTATAATGATATCTAAGATAATAACAAAAAACTGCAAAATTTCCGTAAAATTACTAACTCAGGGACAGCAACCCAACAACGGGTTGTAGGAATCGTGAAAATTTCAGGGAAGATAAATCTATATCAAATGAACATGTTTGTCAACCGTCAGATTTGCTCTAAATGCTTTAGTTTCAGAGATATAAACCAAAAACTGCATTTTACCACTATGTTCTATTTTTAGCCATGTCGGCCATGTGGTTGGAAAGCAGGGTCACTGGACACATTTTTTAAACTAGATACCCTTATGATGATTATGGCTAAGTTTTATTAAATTTGTCTCAGTAGTTTCAGAGGAAATATTTTGTAAAAGATTACAAAAATTTACGAAAAATTGTTAACAATTGACTCTAAAGGGCAATAACTCCTTAAGGGGTCGACTGACAATTTTGGTCATGTTGACTTATTTGTAGATCTAACTTTGATGAACATTATCGATGTTTACAGTTGATCTCTATCTATAATAATATTCAAGATAATAAACCAAAACTGCAAAATTTCCTTAAAATTACCAATTCAGGGACAGCAACCCAACAACGGGTTGTCGGATTTGTCTGAAAATTTAAGGGCGGATAGATCTTAACCTGATGAACATTTTTCCCCCCCATGTCAGATTTGCTCTAAATGCTTTAGTTTCAGAAATATAAGCCATAAACTGCATATTACCCCTATGTTCTATTTTTAGCCATACCGGCTTTTTGGTTGGCAAGCGGGGTCATCGGACACATGTTTTAAACCAGATACCCTAGTGATGATTTAGGCCACGTTTGGTTAAATTTGGATCAGTAGTTTCAGAGAAGAAGATTTTTATAAAAGTTAACAGACGATGACGACGAACGACGGACGCCAAGTGATGAGAATAATGACCCGTAACGCTTTTGTTGTGTTCAAACTTTCAAAATGCCAATTAAAGGATGAACCCATACCTTGCATCTAAGCAAGCCAAGGGTTACTCTAGGCGTACTACCATTCAACCTTTGACGATTTACTGCCCAGTTGGGAAATTCAAGCGCCTAAGTTAATTCAAACTGACCCATTAACATGTGTTTATTTATTTTTTGTTACTGCTGTTGAATTATAACTAAACACTATTTCAATTAAATCAAATATGTGCAATGTTTTTGTCACAAAAAGTATTCAATCAATTTGAGGAGCCTGGAATATTGTTGAAAATAAAAGATTGGAAGAATATGTGCATAGTTTCCACGCCATGGACATATAAGCAGTAGATTAATATAATCATGATACGGTAGTACTATTGTAAACATTTGCATTAATCATTCCTTATAATTTTATATAAGCATTGTTTTCAGTATTATAAATGAGGTCAATATTGGTTTGTTAAAAAAGGTAGACCCGAATACCAAAAAAGCAACATGTCTGTTGTACAAACAAACACTGGATCAGCATTTACCCCCATCCCCTTTTCACCTGTCGATTGATTTGCTCTACCAAGCATTTCAAGTAGAAAAAATATGGTATGTGGTGCAAAAATTACATTTTGTTCAACACATTTGATGTGAACATTTTAAAACATGACCGAGGTTTGAGCATCCAATTGCAAAATCAAAATACTAGTAAGCAATAAACCAAAACTCAGAAAATCATATAGAAACACATCTAAAAATCAACATTTTTAAATACATTCCAAAATAAGCTTACAAGCACTATCAAAGTACTGAAGTACTGAACATCGAATGACTGCAAGTTCTTGTGGCTGGTCAAAAGCACTTGTCACAGAAAAAAATCACATCTCTATACCTGAAACTGAGGTTAATGTACAGAGATATATTTCTTTCTGAGACAAGTTCGTGCGTGGATGATGAATAAATGACAGGAAATTCAACCTCACCGTAATAACTATTATATTGTAGTGATACAAATCAGTATACACTGGTTTGTTGTTATATATTATATTAATATAACAGTTACATGTATATATTATTTTCATCCATTTGTATATCATTCTATTCAACTATTCTAATAATAGTGCAGTGCAAGTGCATGGTGGACACTCTTCTGTAAATCTTCAATTTTTCTAAAAGATTGAATATGAGTAGGAGTTCATATTTTCCCGCAAAAACAATTACAGAGTTACCGGTCCTTGTTTATAGATCGGTTACAATCTCAAAACAAAAGTTACGTGTGCAAAATTTAGGCGATAGCAATACATCGGAATGACCTCACGGTCATCTCGATGTAAAAAGTCAGTCATAATCTAGTCTACAATAAATTCTGTTAATCAGCGTGGCCTGTATCCCCAAATCTTTAAAACCCAACAGTTAAAACTATAAACATTATCAAATGGTCTTTCTATAAATCTGGTTGCTAATTTTGTTGTTGTAGCGTTTATAAAAACCTTTTTTTCAGTCCTAAGTAGCATGATACTTGAGCCAAACGTTAGATAGATTCATGGTCGTGGCAGGACTTCTGACAATATATATAATTGCCAATCAATATGGATAGTTTTCCAATAAAACTAAAAAAAATGCTGTTATTTCAGAAACATCATAACTTTAGACAATGGTCTACCATTTAATGATTATCGACACTCAAGAAGGTTCTGGCGACGTTGAATTATCGAACGCACGTTCAATGGGGATAACTCGCACGGCGACGTTTCCAAGTAACATCCTTATTTTAATTACTTAAACAACTGACCATATTTTAATTTGATTAGACATATTAACATTTTGCATGACAATATTTTCATACATACCCAATAAGTTTATGGTTTCCATCGATATGCCACAAGGAATTTGGCCCGGCTACTCTGTAAGTTCTGCGATGAATAGTGTCACTCCATCTAAAAGCAGTTCCTGCTGGATCAACTCGACATATTGCATCTCGAATCCTGTTCTCTTGACATGTATGCCCTTTAACTTTAACATGAGCCTGTATTGAACGATAACCCAAGTGAGGGTTTTCATCAAGTAATGGTCTTATTATATCATCTAATTCATTGTCGTCAACGGTGCTATATTTCTCTCTAATGGAAATTCCAAAATACCTGAAATAATAAAAATGTCATATAATAAAAATAGAACTTACTTAATATTGAAGTTGTTCTTATCTAGACACAAGTATTCCGTAGTGTATAACATTTATAACTAACTTATCTTCAATCTGTTTTAACTACGCAAATATCGAATATCATTTACAATTATTGATAATGTGTATCCAAAAAAATTCTTGGCAACCCGGGCTTTACATGTACATCGGCATAACTCTGTTTCTATTGATTGTGAATTTATTTAATACTCCGAATTCTCTTTGGGGGATGAGGTGAGACAAACATTTTCTCCGGCCATCATTTTTGGAAATATGTTGTGAGAACTGCAATTTTATAATACATTATATGTTTTGTATTATTGGAGATAGCATTCAGGTTTAATGGTTGTGGAACAATTTTATCATATTGTGTAAAGTTATAAATGGCCGGTGATATTGAGACAAAGTTTTCTGGGCTTCTTTACAAAGAAATGATTTTATATTAGGTCGAGAGCTTGATTATGTTGAGTTAATACGTGTAAGCGATTTTTATATCTGCAGTGCATTCACTCTCTAATTGTCGATAGTTTGACATCCCCCCTATAACATTGGTAACTCTTTAACAAAAAAAAGTAGTATACATGTTATATTTTTTGTAATCTACTTTAATTTATGTACAAGGCTATTTTGAATGAATTAATTTACAAAGCGAAAACACTTTTCACTTTCATCAGCTTTAAGACGGCTAGCTTTTTTAAAAGCTATTACTTGTGGTTATTTTGTAACTGTATGATTTCTTTGTCATTTAATAAATAAATGACATTATTCAATCATTCATATTTTAATATGTTATTCTTTCATCACATCAAACTGATCAAATTTGTGTTACAAAAAAAAATACATTTTGTGTTCAATACCACAAAATAATAGTTAAAGAAATTATACCATCTACTCCATATGAGTACCGAAAATATAATTCAAAAAGGTTTATAAATACTAGTATGTATGCGATCGTATGTTCGTAAACTGCTATATATTATAAGGTCAGTATAATAGAGTTCTTCATATCTATATATATACATTGTAAGTATTACTGAGAACTTTTCTAAATTTATTTGAACGTTAGTTATTTTTCACAATACAAATTTTGAAGTTAAATTGTTGTTTAGACGTTTCTGCCAAAATGGGATATAACATTAAGTGATTCAGGCTTAGACTGCCACTATAAAAAATGGAGTGTAGACTTTTCCTATTGTATATAAATGTACCTTAGTCTCCTTTTTACAGTTGACTGTGACACCTGCAGTAATTTTGATATATTTGATCCACTGAAACCTAAATCCAAAAAGAACTGAAGTTGATCTTTAGAAATTTCATACAGTGGGCGCCCTGGTTTCCCGTTACTGCTTCTTCCTGATCTGAATGCATTATCATTCACTGTACTGAAATAGATAGAAATATACAAATAACTTTGGAAATTTACACACATTTGCAATGAAAGGTAGATGTAGTTCATTGGCCTTTTCTGTAATTCCGCAAAAATATGAATTTAGTTCATACATATTGTATAAAATATATTTTAAGCTGTAACAGAAATGACAAGGTATAATAAGGGACATTTTTTGCCCCCTCTTCAAATGACTACATATTCGATCCATCATTAGTCTATGCATAGTGACTTAAGGAAATGTTGAACATTTTGTGTTTATGTGAACGTTTGGTTGCCTAGCAACAGGTTTCATAAAATTTACTATTATATCCATCTTCAGTGCATTTGCCCTAGGAAAATACTTCTAAATCCATTAAAATGTGAAGTAATGTGTTACAAAACACTTAAATATATATATATATATATTATTGTTGGATCTATTATTTAACGGAGTTCCAAATAGTGACCTAGTAACCACAATGTTACCTAGTGACCACACAAAAGGACTTATTTTATCCAATGTTATCCATAAAAAAATTGAAAAATTCAAATATTTTCATATAACTCATATTAAGTCGAATCCTGTATTTAGAAATTTAATTTAGTAACCATGTTTGCATTTAAGAACAATTTGATTTTGTAACTATATAACCCGTCATATCAACCCGATTTTACCATAGCAACACATAGTCCTTTTAAGTTAACAAACGGTGTTTTAGTATCACTGAGTGTAATCTTTAAGCTTGAAACGTGGAACTATAGGATATTTATCAGTACGTATACTTCAGATGTGCAATTTTAATATTCTGAATTTGATGTTTCCATGGTAACACAGGTACGTATCCCTGATATAATATTTTGCTTAGCAACCATCCCAAATCAGATATATTTAAGTATGTATTTTCATAAAAAAGAGAGACAGAAGATACATATTTTTTTAGTTTTGCATACTGTACAAAAATGTAAGATACTTTGCTGCTAGCAACAGCCTTATGACATGAATAATTTAACTTAAATAAATGGGGAATGTATCCATAGGGACACAGATGATGCCCCCGCTAGCATTTTACGGCGTGGCTATTTGCTAGCCGGACGAATAGTGCTAGGGCTATTTGTCCGGCCATTGCAATGCGCGTGTCATTTTATGTGCGTACGAAAGTGAGTGTAATATTATCTTCAACATCACCAGGGGTCGCGTGTAATCCGATCACTGATTTTCAATTTTGAGATCATGGCTGAAAACGGGGATATCAATATTTGTGATAATTTTCCAGTTTTCAGAATTTGACAAGGGAATACGATAGTATAACTTAAAAAAAGTGGGGGATGTGGGATATAGGATTATAAAAAGTGGGGATATGAAGTATAGTGGACAGTAAAGGTGGGATCTGGGTAAAAAGAAAAGAGGGATTTGGAAACTGAAGGAACGCCAACCCTCTCATCACCCCTAACTCAAAATATGGACAACTTTATGTTAAGGGGATCTATAACTCGATCTGTTTGACAGTCTCAGACATGATAATTTTGTACCTTTTTCAACAAGAAAATCCTTACGTTAACTTAATCTAAAATGCATGAGCTAATCGCGACCCAAGTTTGGTTTACAAGTAATTTCCTCCCTCTTTTTGCAATGTGAAGTAATAGATATAGATATAACATTAAATATATATGATTTTTTTTCTAAATTACATTGACCACATTGGACTTTATTTGAAGAAAACAACCATTTCAATTACCAGTAACAAAATTGGGGCCTAACAATTTAAGATTGCAAAACATTGCTTTATAGATGTCAATATATATAATTTGCCACACCCTGGTGCTGCAGAAGAAAATATTTCACACTCACAGACATGCGCATTGAACTGGCCGAACAAATAGTCCTGGTACTAATAGCAACTGCCTATAAAGTAATAGAGAGACATATCTCAATAACTGTAAAAGTGTCGCTACCAAAATTTGAACTTAAACTGAGTTTTGTGGTAATTACCATTATTTATACTGCAACTACTTGTGTTTATTTCCTAAATATAGTAACATAGCTATATTTTGTATAATATAAATTTAATCATGGAACCATTTTCTCAACAATCAAGGGTCCATTAAGGGATGCAAATAAGTTTGACATTTGTGTTACGATTTAAAAACCTATCAATAAATAATTTAAGTTGCAGTAAAAAAACAATATTAGGTCATTGTCATAAAAATATAAACTTTTTTGTACTCGGCGCAAAACTGGGAAAGGGCTCTGTAGAACCTCGCCCTTCCCCAGTTTCTCAGCCTCAAACAAAAAAGTTTATATTTTCCTGACATTGACCTAATATTGTATAATATGTATATATATATTGTCGAAATCCGGATATGGTGTACAAATTTTGCACCTCATGTTTGCGGTATACCATCTTTTCCGTACGTTTATTGTTTTCTGTTTGGTAATAAATTAATAATAAGATCTATTTTGTTACATCTTGTGATCCGTTTATTTGGCAATCGCCAATGGCAGTCAGCAGGGTTTAAGAACATCAGTTGTTCGACCTGCTAGTCAAATGCGTTTTGTTAAAATATACTTTTTCACTCATTTGGTCTTTTGGAAAATGTTGTTTGTGCTGTATTTAGACCCCTCTACCAAAACATTTGTTTTGCATGCACAAGTATAAAAATTGCGGTTTTTATCCAACGCAATCATAGGTTTGAACGTTGTTTTCAATTAAGACTTGTTTATATTTTTTCGTTTGGGCTTGTATTGTATTTGCCTTCGGGTTTATATGATCCGTTCATCTTATTTTGACTCTTTCAAAATTCAAGAGTCTATCCTAAATTGAGGTAAATTATATGGCCTTCCAAATACCGTTTCGATTCCTAACATCACTGAAGAGACATTAATTGTCGAAATCCGGATATGGTGTACAAATTTTGCACCTCATGTTTGCGGTATACCATCTTTTCCGTACGTTTATTGTTTTCTGTTTGGTAATAAATTAATAATAAGATCAATTTTGTTACATCTTGTGATCCGTTTATTTGGCAATCGCAAATGGCAGTCAGCAGGGTTTAAGAACATCAGTTGTTCGACCTGCTAGTCAAATGCATTTTGTTAAAATATACTTTTTCACTCATTTGGTCTTTTGGAAAATGTTGTTTGTGCTGTATTTAGACCCCTCTACCAAGACATTTGTTTTGCATGCACACCGTTCAAACCTATGATTGCGTTGGATAAAAACCGCAATTTTTATACGTGTGCATGCAAAACAAATTTCTTGTTAGAGGGGTCTAAATACAGCACAAACAACATTTTCCAAAAGACCAAAAAAGTGAAAAAGTATATTTTAACAAAACGCATTTGACTAACAGGTCGAACAACAAATGTTCTTAAACCCTGCTGACTGCCATTGGCGATTGCCAAATAAACGGAGTGTAAATAAATAGATCTTGATTATAAATTTAATACCAAACAGAAAACAATAAATTTGCGGCAAAGATGGTATACCGCAAACAAAGGTGCAAAGATTTTTGTACACCATATCCGGATTTCGACAATTAATGTCTCTTCAGTGATGTTAGGAATCGGAAAAGTATTTGGAAGGCCATGTAATTTACCTCAATTTAGGATAGACTCTCGAAATTTGAGGAGTCAAATTAGGATGAACAGATCATATAAACCCGAAGGCAAATATAATACAAGCCCAAACGAAAAAATATAAATAAGTCTAAATTGAAAACAACGTTCAAACCTATGATTGCGTTGGATAAAAACTGCAATTTTTATACGTGTGCATGCAAAACAAATTTCTTGTTAGAGGGGTCTAAATACAGCACAAACAACATTTTCCAAAAGACCAAAAAAGTGAAAAAGTATATTTTAACAAAACGCATTTGACTAACAGGTCGAACAACAACTGTTCTTAAACCCTGCTGACTGCCATTGGCGATTGCCAAATCAACGGAGTGTAAATAAATAGATCTTGATTATAAATTTAGTACCAAACAGAAAACAATAAATTTGCGGCAAAGATGGTATACCGCAAACAAAGGTGCAAAGATTTTTGTACACCATATCCGGATTTCGACAATTAATGTCTCTTCAGTGATGTTTGGAATCGGAAAAGTATTTGGAAGGCCATATAATTTACCTCAATTTAGGATAGACTCTCGAAATTTGAGGAGTCAAATTAGGATGAACGGATCATATAAACCCGAAGGCAAATATAATGCAAGCCCAAACGAAAAAATATAAATAAGTCTAAATTGAAAACAACGTTCAAACCTATGATTGCGTTGGATAAAAACCGCAATTTTTATACGTATGCATGCAAAACAAATTTCTTGTTAGAGGGGTCTAAATACAGCACAAACAACATTTTCCAAAAGACCAAAAAAGTGAAAAAGTATATTTTAACAAAACGCATTTGACTAACAGGTCGAACAACAAATGTTCTTAAACCCTGCTGACTGCCATTGGCGATTGCCAAATAAACGGATCACAAGGTGTAATAAATGGATCTTAATTATCTATACTATTAAACGAGAAGACCTCATTTTGTGTGTCGCTTCTCTTCCTTCCAGAATGAATTGATTATCATGGCTTAGTGTCATATAGGTACCATGCATAGTCGCATTTGTCATCCTCGCTTATGATTATTTCGTTTGTGTTATTTTGCGAGAAAAACAAAAATAAAGGCGTCCGGTTATTGTTTCCGTCATCGGACCGACTTTTAAGTCACAGACAAGACTTTCGTTTAGATCTGTTTAATACTACACATAATTTTCATAGGTACTTGTGGGACAGGACAATTATTTTCGCTTTTTCTGTATACTACGAACATACATATACTACAAATGAAGTGTACATCATATTTACTATCTACTATCAATTCCATGTTTACTATCAACGGCGGTCACATATTATATAGTATATGTCTGTTCAAAGTATACAGAAATACGCAAGAATAAATTGAAATAATAGAAAACCAAAAAAAAAACGGATTTTGAAAAAAAGGGAGAGGGCTAGAACAA